TAGTGTAAAAATAAAATTATGACTCACTTATGGCCAGGTACTGTATATCAATGAATTTGAAAAAAAAATTAATTAATTAAATTGTTACAAAGTTGATAAAAAATGTACATGTATTGTACTTAGTTTATGTTGCAACTCCAAACAATATTTATTGTATAATTCTCACTTGATAATTACAAGCATTAAGAGAAATAATATGGGTTTTTTTACCCCACATAAAAAATTATGGGATAATAAACCCCACATTTTATTTTTAGTGAGACGTGGGTTAAAAAACCCCACAAAAAATAATATGGGTTATTTAACCCCATGGGGTGAAAAATAAACCCCATGGGGTTTTTGTGGGGTTTTTTGTGGGGTATTTTTAAGTTCATGTTTCCCCATGGGATTTTTGTTTTTGAACTCAAATATCTCAAAAACTAGCAGAAAATGTTGAATTTTTTTTTTCATCAATCAATTTGATTATAAAAACCCCACCATTTAAAAAAAACCTTAAGATGATAGCTTTAAAGGAAAAGGGTGCGCAAGTTCGGAAAAATGTCCATTCCGAAGTTGTCCGTCCCACTGTTTTATATCAAAACTCGTTATATTTTGAATTATGCTTCAATGATAATCGGAACTTTTGTCCCTTTTCTGTAAAGAAATAAATTATCTTTTGAAGCGATTTAAAAATGGATATAAATCAAAATGTGCAGGATTTAAAGTGGTTAATCAATATGTGAAAAGTTGTCTCACTTCTAGATATATAAGTTTATAAATTGTGCAAAGAGAATGCTTATATGTATTTTTTAACAACCGTGAATGCATGCGTTTTCATGCAATATCTGATATATATAAAAGTTAATTTTCGAAAGTGCAAATTTTTATATATTTTTATGTTTCAGAAATAATATTTTGATCTTTGTTATGTTAGACATGCGTTTCTTTATCAGTGATCTGTATGACTGCAACTTCGAATAGATACATCATGTGCAATTCAAAATAGCAATGAACTGTCTGTTAATTATACGGTTGGATATACGCGTTCTAATTTGATAAATTTCTCTGGAGTAAGTTTTGAATTTACCAGATCTGTAACTTCGCCATTTAATTGAATTTTGGATAAAAACTCGACTAAGAAAATTAAATTACAAGCCAGAAAATATCAACAGATATCAAACTTCAGAGGAAGCAGAGCCTTGGTCGCTTCATTTGGGAAATATTCCGTGAGTAACCCCAAGCCATGCTTTTGTGAAGAATAGATGATGTATAGAGAAGATTAGCTTGATCAGAAATATGCAAAATGTGATCTGCTCAGATGCTGCTGAAAGCACATGCTTCATAAAAATCAATAGCTTTAAATAGCTTAGCTAACACACATAGAAGAGTGAAAGAAGGAAAGAAATTCTACATCCTGAACCAAAGACATTTCGGAAAGAACCAGAAGTTTCTGTATTGATTTTTTTTTTGATTTATCTTTTCAAATTTTGGTCCAGTTCTACTACAGTTCTAAGAAAGCGACTCACCACATTTAACTCTTTGTTTACCTTGAAATCATAGATCGACATTCAGTAAGTAAAATATCTTTTCATTGTAAGTGTACTTTTCGATCAACAATTTACGAAGCATGAAAAAAATGTCCAGATATGCAATCGAGAATGCAAGATAAACAAGATTCTAATAAACCTGACAGCTTTCTAGTCTATGAACAACGAAATTTTAAGTGCAATTACTCTAATAAAACTGAATAAATTCGACAACAGATAAGCCGTATTTTCGTATTTCCTAAATGTGACGTCACTATTATGTCGTACTGATCCTCACCTAGAGATATTTTTTCGCCTGAATCTGGTGGTAACATAAACAGGAGGAGAGACATGGAGGAGATGAGGACACAGGGTATGATGATATTAAAGCCATAATACAGCGTCCGGCGCTGAACATGGATCGTGTAGGTAATGTCGATATAAATCTCAGGACAACATTCATATGACTTCTGGTTCCTCACCCCAGGCACACCTGTAAGGGATAAAGGTTATATTTAGAATAGAATTCGGGAACATTTTGTAGTACTGTAGAATAGATTCATCACCCCGGCACACCTGTATGGAGTAAAGGTTATTTTTAGAATAAACTTCGGACGCATATGTTGTAATAAAGAATAAATTCCTCACTCAAGTACGCCTGTAACAGGTAAAGGTTATATTCACTATAGAGTCCAGATGAATATGTACATAGAATAATGTAGAATAGATTCCAAACCCAAGACAAACCTGTTACAGGTAAAGGGTATATATAAAATATTTTTTTTGCAATCCGGCCCACCTATTACGTTCAAAGAGATATGATATTCAAGGAGCCCACGGCGGGTGTGACTGGTCGGCAGGGGATGCTCACTTCTCCATGGCACCTGATGCAGCCTCTGATGTTTTGGAGATCCGTGTTTGCTCTGCTCCTATTTTTTATTGTGTTATAGACTTTTTAGCTCGAATATTGTTCGTCATTTCCACATATTTCAGAAAAGATAATAACTCTTCTACACCTGTAACAATCCTAAAGGTTATTTTCAACCAGGCATATCTGTAAAATCCATAGATGAAATATATAGAGATAACAAACAGTATTCAATATCAAAAGTCAATATTACAATACAAAATAGGAGCAGACATGGACCTTCAAAACATCAGAGGTGGGATCAGGTGCCATGGTGGAGTGAGCATCCCCTGCCGACCGGACACACCCACGGTGTGCTCCTTGTCATGATTGGAAAAAAAGCCGTCGTCAATTCAGTGTAAAATAAGGAATTAACAATTAGTATGAAAACATACGTCAGAATTTGACTTAATGATAGATTGTATTTGCTGACGAGGTCATTTTATCGACCGTAGAACTTACAAAATGATGACATTCATCAACTTGTTTGTCACTAATTTACCTCGTTTTAGAAATTGAACATACGTATAACATGCTCTTGCATATCGAATCAACTGAGAGATGTAAACTATGTATGCAGGTGATGAAGGTATATTGTCGAATAAGTAAGGGAAGTTGACGATTGAAAAGTTAAATTTATCACATATATCATAGAGCTTGGATGTAAGATTGCCAGGAACGTCATTTTCAAGAAAATATGAAACATATGTGTCAGACTTTGTGATATCTTTTATTTAAAGCTCGCCATGATATATCGTTTTGATATTAGAATGAAAATAAACTTCTTAATTGACACTACTTTGTCGACGTATGTAAATATCGAGTTGAATGCCACAGCAAACGTTTTCTTCTTTTCACGTATAAAATTTTGGACAAAATTTGCTTCATATGAATACAAATAGAGGTCTACTAATAACGGGTCGCAATTAATACCCATGGAAATTCCAATAGATTGTTGGAAGACTGATCTCCAAAAAAAAAAAAAACCACATAGCTTTTGCCAATCAGAAACCAAGTATCCACATCTCATTTACACCACTTCTAGAATATATTGTTGAGCAGTATTCTTGAAATTTCTCTTTCACAACTGTTAGTATATTAGCAAGGAGTAAAGAAAGAGGTTTGAATGAACATTTAATGGAACCTGCTATGTATCTTTGTTTGTAAGGATTTTTATGAAGTTTCGGAATCCTGTATGGTAATTCATATTCATTTTGGTTGTTTGAGATATTAAAAATATTCAAAACTGACATATGATTTTGAAGAATTTCTCCCTTAGAAAGGGAACTAAGAGTTTAAGTTGGATTACCACTTGTAGAACATGAAATCTAAGTTCTAAAATACAATTATTATGATAAGGTTTACAAATGAAGACGATTTTGTTACCTGCTTTTTCAGCAGGGAACAGTACGTACTGATAATGTAATCAATCTGATTCTTTTTTCACTTCTGGATTATAGGATATAATATCTAAAACAGGTCTTTTACTCTGGTGCATTTGTTACATTCATAAAGAGAAAAGATTCTTAATCCCGACACACTTTGTAAAATGTATAAAGGTTATATTCAAGTCTTTATCTTCACCTTTTCCATTCAAAATCAAGATTCCTTCCTTTTAGCGCCATTTAAAATGTAACAATAACGTCATAAAAAAAGCAATTGATTAGATGACTAATACTGACAAAAACATTGCAACCTAATAGATCCCACTCTCCATTCCTTATGAAGTCAGAAGCATCGCCATTTGAAGATCCGTCAAAAATCAGGTCGAGAAAACGTCCATCATATGTCCAGGAACCAAATTTGAGATCGCATTTCTGCTCATCAAATGGGAACCAAGCGATATCGATCTGACAGGTACTCTTGAACATTCCGGGAGGAATCCATTTGACCTCCCCTCTGTTGTTTACTATGATGTTCGAGTGGTAAGTTCCGTCAAAATCATCGTCCGCGCTACAAGTACATTGTACCAATAATTTAAAGTAGTTCTAAATATTGTAATTCCTGGTATGTACAACAATTTGTGCAAACAAAGGTATTGATGTATTGGATGCATTTATAAATTAGCCATTACAAAATAATATTTATTGATGATTATACCAAAGGCATACTAAGACTAATATTGTGCAAATTACAGTTTCTGTAATAATTTCAGATATTTTGCCAGAACATCCTATAAACACCTGTTATAAAGCAGCACATCTGGCTTCCATACTTTTTTGGCCGGAATTCTGAGTTCCTGTATTCCACCAAATTCCCGCGGCTCCCAGATTAAGTTAACATCATGCCATTTCTGGGACAGAAAAAAAATATTGTCAAGTAAGACTATATAATGATTACATTAAAATCATTATCGTTCTTATATCCGATAAATTTTTTGATTTAATTAACAGCTGAGTAAATCATTCCATGCTTTGTAATAATTCTTTTAGTAAACAGTTTTAAATATAAAAAAAATCTAAACTATATAACTCTGACGTAAGTACGCATCTATCAATCTGATGTGTAAGTTTTTCAATTATTATATTCTAAATCTTCCATGGTACATGATCCCACCTATAAAGATTTAGAGGTCGGTGTTTTATCTGCTCCAAAATTTATATTGTTTAATGCACTTTTAGGTTTTAATACTGTTCGTTATCTACATATATCTCATATGGAGTTTCATTGTAAGTTCACTGTTAAAACTCACCATTTGTAACCAAATGTTGGAATACAGAATCTGGTTCTTTTCATCCTAAAATATAATTTTAAAATAAAAATAAAAAAATTATATATATAAAAAATAGAACCAAAATGTCTTTGTATAACAGGGAACTGTTTATTTTATTTCTTTGAAATTTGTTTCAAAATATACAGTAAGCTTTTTTAAAATTAAAAAGTCGAATAAGAGAGATAAATCTCACTAAAATACATTACTATCCATTTATCGAAAAATTATCGAGTTAAGATAGATTTTTTTTTTTGCATTGCAACGCGTGCTGAGGATATTAAATTTCAATTATGACTATCATTTTTTTCTTAAGATTCATTAACATAAACCCCCTTCCCCGCAGACACGCATTTTAACGCATACACCGTTTCCTATTTCTAAAGCAAAATCACGCATATACCTTTTCAATGCAATTACGCATTTTCACATTTTCACGCGCAATTTGAAAAGTAAATTTAATCTTCAATTTAATTTATGTTAATTCACTTCTGTTTTATACCAGCTAAAATCTCATAAAATAAGAAAAGTAATAATCTTATTAAAATATTACGTCATAATTATTTACGCTAAACTTTAGAGAAACTTGTGCGGTGCTATAAAGTGCTTGCAGGGAACGATAACGTCGTATTTCTATGACGTGGGCGTTAAGTGTATATTGCGTCACAATTCAGTACGTTGTAAAGTGTTAAAGTAAAGTTAAGAGGAATAAAAGATAAATGCGCCGAATGTTAAGAGTCGTTCTCTGTAAGCATCAAAATGGGCTGGAAATTGATTTTCACGGATTTTGCTGAAACTTTGTGAAATAGTTACATTGTAAGCCCAATTTACAAAAATATTATTAAAAGTGATCAGTTGGTCGTGTTTCCATGGCAACCAGGTTACCTGTTTTTTCACATAGTGGTAAATACCTAAAATGATATTTCTTCCCATTCATGTGCATTTAATTAAATAAAGGTGATTATTCTTATTTTTTCCTTTGAAATAATTTGTTATTTGTATTTTCTTTTAAAAAAAGTTGAAATTTTTTTTTGGACCTGCTGTTAAATGCCAAATAACATTAAAAAAATGCTTTAAAAAAGGGGGGTTAAACATAACAATGTGTACAAAAAACGCAGGCACTGGTGGAATATTCTGATGCTCTGAATTTCACCTTATACATTTATGAAGAACATATGAAAAAACTGGAGAGGTATTATTTACTTTAAGAAAATAAATTGATTGTAAAGTTTGTAAAAAATCTCTAAATTTACACACATTTTTGACAAGAGTTATTTCCCCTTTCGGAAATCTTTTGCTTAAATCAATGAAAATGAAAGTGAAAGTACACAGCAGAAAACGACTTTGAGGAGTAAATACTGTCTGTTTTGGATATTTTTAGGGGTTTTAATCCAACTTGTGAAGTATTTAACATTACCCATAGTTAAACTGTTAAATGACTGTTCAGGCTTTACTGTGACTGAGAGATATACATGTTTGTGTATAGATGTGATAAACTCAAAAATGGATTGCATCCTGTGAAATTCCTGCCTCTGTGACAACAAGTGCTGCATCATTGAAAAAAAAAGTGTTTAAAAACAAAGTAACATCAGTTAAATAGACTTCAGAGCTAAGGGTGGGATAATAAGGTTGTGATGAAGAAATATACATGGCAATAAGAAGATCACTAGGCAAGTACCAATGAAATATTTACCACGTACATTGAAAGTTGCACATATTTTGTATGAGTTTATTAATAATAGGGTATGCCTATTTATTTTTAAAAAAACATTAAAGTACCCAAAGCATAAATAATGACATGATTCTAATTATATCAATAATTTATAGTAAAGACATATTATCAGTCTTATTAAAATCAGATGTTGATGAAAATTATATAAACCATCTGTTGATAAAAATTATATATGTTAACCAAATTAAACTAAATTATACAAAGCAATTCGGTATATATGATAAAAGCTAAATACCTCACAACAGCTTTTTAATTGTATGCTTGAAAAAAAAGGGGGGTTTAAAAAGTTATTGCCATGTAAGGTATTTCATCAGTTTTTAAAAGAATTAATTTCATTTATTAATCTACATTTGTTACATTTATCGATCTCCAGAAAGCTTTCGATAAAGTGGACCGGGAATTATTAGAATTTTGTTTACTACGTAACGGAGTGGAAGGAAATTTTTATAATACTCTGAAATCGTTATATTTAAACACGGAATCCTGTGTAAAGTTATCAGGGTACTACACGGATTGGTTTCGCTGCACCTCTGGAGTCCGTCAGGGAGACAACCTCTCCCTAACACTCTTTGCCTTATTCATTAATGACCTAGCTAAAGAAGTTAACTCCTTCGGCAGAGGCGTTAAAATGGACACTACTGTTCTAAACATTCTCCTCTACGCAGATGACATAGCACTTATTGCTGGCAATGAAAAGGATATGCAGGATAGTCTAAACGTTGTCTCGACATGGTTCAAAAAGTGGCACCTAACGGTAAACTCAGAAAAATCTAAAGTTGTGCATTTTCGAAAAAGGAATCTCTTGCAGAGCGACTACAAATTCTATCTCGGAAACACTAATCTGGAGTATGCTTCTTCTTATAAATACTTAGGTGTTATATTTGATGACAACAGGGGATTCAAGACAAACATAGAAAACCTTGCAAAATCAAGAGGCCGCGCATTGGGAGCAATGATATCAAAGATTCATCATCTCAAACACGTTGGATTCAACACATTTGAAACGCTTTTCCACAACTGTGTCTCTCCTGTAATAGACTATTGCAGCGGTGTGTGGGGATATGAAACATCGCACAAAATAGATATGGTACAGGATCGGGCTCAACGATACTTCCTCGGGGTTCACCGATTAACACCTCTCTTGGCTGTACGTGGTGAGTGTGGATGGTCAGCTGCCAGTCTGCGACACAAAACTAACATGGTGCGACTATGGAATAAACTGATCCTCATGGATGACGATAAGATTACAAAGAAAATATTTATAGCGTCTTGTAATGAAAATAATTCCCGAAGCTGGTATCATCATATGAAAATTCTCTTTGAAAACACAGATTTAAACCACATTTTTCAAAACATGCAGTTTTGCAATACCCATATTTTTATTCAGAAACAGATTTCAAATCAACAATCCAAATGGCAATCGGATATTCAAAAATCAGCAAAATTACGGACGTACTGCATTATTAAGGAAGAATACGGTCTTGAACAATACGTTGCTATGGACTTGCCGAAACCAGTTAGGTCTACAATGGCGCAATTCCGGTGCGGGGTGCTCCCTCTGCGTATCGAGACTGGTCGCTACCGTGGAGAGCCAATTTCAGATAGAATATGTAATTTCTGTGATTTGAACGAAGTAGAGGATGAACTTCACTTTCTTCTTAAATGTGATCTATATAAATTCTGTAGACAGGACTTTCTAGGAAATATTGGAATTTCAAATTTACAATATAATGATTTAAATGTTCTCTTTAAATATCTGTTAACTCACTTCCCTCGTCAATCTGCAAATTTTATTTATAAAGCCTATAATTTAAGACAAAGAAAAACAAGAAAACATTGATGTAACCATCAATTGTCGCCCGGGAAATATATAAAGTAAACAATGGAATCGAAATGACCTTTGATCATCAAACCGCTTCGATACGTGTGAAAAGGCATGCGTCTAATTGATGGAGACGATAGTCGCGAATATTTGGAAAACTTATAGTCGGATAAATGTCAAACAAAAACGATACCATTTTAAACTTCAATTCCTCGAGTAAATGTTGGCTGCATAAAATATAAATTGAAGGTAGACACATGCATCACCTATATTCAAAAATGTATTTAATTTTCAATTTTAGAATATAAAACACGAAGTGTGCATAGTACGTTTTTATGCGAGAAGTAAAATTCGATGATCTAAAAAAGGGGACCTGTCGTTTTTTCGATAGTAAATGATAAACAACTTTATATATTAAATGTGAAAAACATATCTATTTTTAGAGAATCACTTTATGGAAGTAAATATATTATGTATCTCGTAATTTATAAAGGGAAAGAACATTCTGATTAACAATCTTTTCAATGTTTAGAAAACCTTTAATTTTGAATAACTACTCCCACCCCAATCCCCATATACCAACACTTAAACTTATATGTATAGAGCAGCCCGGTCCTCCGGGCTGCAATCACACGCATGTAAATTGTAATGTATATAAATTGTTAAAAGTGACTTATAGGTCCGATGGGCCGGGTGTTGTGAACATATATTATGTTTAATTGTATAACGAATAACTGTATATACACATGTCACTATAATAAAATATTTACTTACTTACTTACTTACTTACTTACTATTAATCATTTTTTAAATTAATTAATTATTTTCTATTTTACCTGTTGACTTTATGAAATCACATCGCTAAACTGAACACGTGACAAAACTGCCATTTTCTCTTAGATTTCAATTTTTGCAGGGTTGAAATTTGTTGATGCAAGTTTTTTTTTTGAATGGGTCGATGATTGTGAATGAATGTGCCCTTTCATTTAAGAACTTGAAGTTATTGCAAAAAAAATGAAAGAACATAGGAATTTACTTCTTTAACATCAGATTATTTTATGCAACAAAGAAAAAATAATTTAATTTATTATTTATATTAAGATTTTTTGTCATAGCAAACACTACAACAGTTGAATTTATGCCAAATTTATAATACAATGTGTAACTTTACTGAAACAATATATAATGAAGGAATACATTAAAGTTTATAGGGAAATGCGGCAATTTTCAGTGGAGAGGAGTTCATTGTACGTGCATGCAGAAAATGGGAATATGTAAAATGGTCGTTGTTGAAATAATTATGGATTTATGTGCCCAAATTATAGCAGAGAGAAAAAAAATTATATTTGATTTTGTCACATTTTATAAGGACATCTCAGTATTCCATTTATCACAGACTTTATGTTCAGGAAAATATTTTTAAGAAGCTTTCCAAATAGTTTTAGATAAAAATAAGTTATTTAACTTGGAAAAAAAGACTAA